CTTTGGAGCTTGTTTAAGCCCATATAGTGATTTCACAAGTTTACAAACTTTGTGTTCTTGACCTTTAACCACAAACCCCTCGGGTTGTTCCATATATATTTCCTCATCTAAGTCTCCATTTAAGAATGTAGTCTTTACATCCATTTGATGTATTTCCATGTAATGGAGTGCATCTATAGCAATCAACAGTCTTATTGACGTAATTCTCGTTACAGGCAAGTATGTATCAAAGAAATCCAAACCATGTTTTTGACGGTATCCTTTAGCTACCAAACGAGCCTTATATTTGTCAATCGTACCATCAGGTTTTAATTTCTTCTTAAAGATCCATTTGTACCCAATTGAAATCGACTAATTCCCATCTATGATTTTGCATAATGGAATCTATCTCACTGTTAACTGCATCCTTCCAAAATGGAGCTTCATGAGTGGACATGGCCTCCTTGAATGATTGAGGTTCTGTCTTGGTTAATAAGGTCACAAAATCAGGCCCAAAGTCCTTTCGAATTTTTGTCCTTTTACTCCTTCTAGGTTCAAGTTCTTCTTCTTCTTGAACTTTAGACGAGGATGAACCATCATCATGTTCTCTAGGTTCGTCACTAACCTCAGATACATCATCATGTAATCTCTTTTTCAATAAATTAGACTTGCCTATTTTGTATGGAAATATATCCTTAAAATATATTGCATTTATAGATTCTATAATAGTATTGACATGTATATCACTGACTTCGGAATGAAAAACTAAGAATCTATAAGCTAAACTATTAGATGCAAAACCAATACAAACACAATCTATAGTTTTAGGCCATAATTTTGTTCTCTTTGGCAATGGGACTTGTACTTTTGCCAGGCAACCCCACACTTTAAGCAATTTAAACGTTGGGGCTTTTCCTTTCCATAATTCATATGGTGACTCCTTTCTCGTTTTAGGTGGAATTTGATTCAAAATTTTATTTGCAGTAAGTAAAGCTTCACCCCACAAATTGTGTGGAAGCCTAGAGCTATTCAACATAGAATTGATCATGTCTTTAAAAGTCCTATTTTTCCATTCGGCAACACCGTTTTGTTGCGGTGTATAAGGGGCTGTTGTTTGATGAATTATGCCATGTGTGGCACAAAATTCAGCAAAGGCATGGGACTCATATTCTCCTCTCCTATCAGACCTTAAGACTTTAATCTTCTTGTTAAGTTGATTCTCAACTTCTGCCTTTATGTCTTAAACATATCCCATGTCTCATCTTTACTATGAAGTAAATAAACATAACAATACTTACTAAAATCATCTACAAATGTTACATAATAGTTCTTTCCACCACGAGTTGGATATGATCTAAAATCACACAAGTCACTATGAATTAAATCTAATAAATCATTGGACTTTTCATGCACGGATTTAAAGCTTTGACTTGCAAATTTCGATTCTGTACAAGTCACACATTTAACATTATCTAGATAATCATTTTGGGTAGCAAACCTAAATTATACATTCTAGAAAGTGAACAAAAATTTACATGTCCTAACCTAGAATGCCATAAATTAGACGAATCAACAATATAAGTAGAAGCATTATTTATTTCATTCATAGCATTAGCAAGTACATTTAGTTTGAATAATCCATCAGCAATGTAACCCTTCCCTACAAACATTCCCCCTTTAGTTAGTACAAACTTATTGGACTCAAAAACTAGTTTGAATCCTTTATTACTAAGGATAGGACTAGAAACAAGATTCTTCCTTATATCGGGGACATGCAGCACGTCAAGGAGGGTTAATTCCTTTCCAGAAGTGAATTTCAGAACACATTTCCCTATTCCAGCCACAACAGATGCATATGCATTTCCTATAAACAGCTGCTCGTTTCCTTCGATTTTCTGGTACGAAGAGAACATATTTCTATCACCACACACATGGTGAGTTGCATCGGTATCTATCCACCAATTAGTGTGATCAGATACAAGGTTGATTTCAGAAATCATTGCAGCTAAGGCATCCACATTGTTTTCAATCAGGTTCGTGCGGTTGTTGTTGCCTTGATTTCCATGACCTTGATCCCTTCGATGGCGACATTCTTGAGCCCTATGGCCATGCTTTCCATAAACCCAGCAACTTCCCTTGATTTTCTTGAAGTCTTTGCCTTTCGCACCAGGGACAAAGTGTTTTTCCTTCTTCTTAGTTTTCTGGAACTTCGGCCTTTGCTTTGATGAACTTCCTTGGCTTCCATACTCGAAACCAAGCCCTTCTCATTCTTTCTGTTATCTTCCTTTATTCTCAGCCTGACAATGAGATTCTCAAGGGTCATCTCCTTACATTTGTGCTTGAGATAATTCTTAAACTCTTTCCAAGAAGGTGGCAGTTTTTCTATAAAGGATGCTACTTGGAAAGCCTCATTGATCACCATCCCTTCAACATGAATGTCATGGATAATTTTCTGGAGATCTTCAGTTTGAGAGACAACGTACTTGGAATCCACCATTTTGTAGTCCAAAAATTTGCCCACGACAAATTTCTTCGAACCAGCATCCTCAATTTTATATTTTTTTCTTAAGTGATTCCCAAAGTTCCTGGCTGTTTTGCATACTACATAGACATCATACAATGAATCATCTAATGCATTGAGAATATAGTTTCTGCAGAGGAAATCATTATGATTCCAGGCATCTATAGCCATTAAAGTTTCTGCAGAAAAAATATTTTCTCCATCTGCAGTAGGTATAGTCTCGTGCAGAACATTAGCCAAATTCAAGGTTGTCAAATAAAACATCTTTTGCAGCCATCTTTTGAAGTCTCCGTCCTTAAATTTCTCAGGCTTTTCAGAATGAGGTTTAGTTTCTGATTGTTCCATACTGTTCGAAGATTGTTGGAGAACAATTCAGAAATAAACAAAAAAATAATAGAAATAAACAGAACTTGAAATTCTAATATTTTATTAACTAAAAATACTTGATGTGCAGAATGAAATTATACAATAAATACATAAACTAATATAAGAATATCAATTATAGTAACTTGATCACAGAAGGTAGAGGCTTGCGTAAAAGCTATGTTCTTTGAACAATATTTTCGTCCCACTTTTGTGCTTGTGGTTCAGTGTATTTGAAAGTACACAACTCTTTCTAATAGCTATATTTTTTAATCAAAACATTTTTTAAGTAATAAATTAATTAAAAAACTTAATCCGAAAATTAAAGTTAATGAATCTGATTAATTTTAAATTCCAAGGCCCCAAGTGCCCCAAGGCCCAAAGCCCTTGTCTTGATTAATTAATATTAATTGTATTTAGGCTATATTATATTCAAGCCTAATTCACACAACCATAAGGCCTAAAATATTAGAATTTCAAGTTCTGTTTATTTCTATTATTTTTTGTTTATTTCTGAATTGTTCTCCAACACTTAACGCTTTCCCCAGCTTCCGTGTTCCTTACTGCCATAACTACATGGACACCGCGCAGTGCAAGAACCCGAGATGTCTCCGCCCCAATACCACTTGAGCCGCCTGAAATTTAAACCAAATTAAGCTCACTATGCCTATATCCCTTATCACATGATACAATCGTATATGAAGTTAAAGATAGAGAATGAACCTGTAACAATGGCATTAGACCAGTTCCATCAATCCCTTCAGTAACTTGCTCGGCTGTCGACCACGAGGAGAACCCAGATGCTCCTTTCTTGCTAAATATCCCACCCATTAATGTCGCAGACGATAATACGAAGTTAAAAATTTGCAATACAGAGAAAGGAGAGTGCCAACAAAGCCACCAGAAGACTGAAGTTATAGTACTCTTGAAATATTGTGTCAACGAGAATAGAGTGACACCCAATGCTACTAATTAAGGATATGGCGATAGCAATTTATAAATACAATAGATTCAATCTGAATAGTTTATATGTTTATACAAGCAAGTCTGTAGCATGCATATATATATATAAAAATTACAAAAAGGCTGTCATCATAATCAATGATGATTGATAGTAATCTAAGTTAATCATATGCATGCATGAAGCAATCGTAAAATGATAAAAACGTTCTTATTGACACTTAAAACAATATGTTGCACACAAAAAATAAGAAAAATGAGTGTGCATCTATTTCAGAGTGCTGAAGACTCCGAAGAACATGTGATGTGATCTCACCCAATGCCACTTGAACCTCTTGGTATTAAACAAATTTATACACTAAAAAATATTTAAACTTTAATTAACAATCTTATTTTGAGAAAAAAGACTTTTATGATACAAATATGTAATTACCGTAGTGTTTTGCCAATAGACATGTGTAAGTTTCTCTTTACATAACGTTATATCATTGAAAAAAGTGTTGAGAGAATGAATCCTACATTAATGGAAGCAATAACCTTATATGGGTTTATAAGTAAGTTGATCCACTTCTCATATTACTAATTGATTTTATAGTGAAACTTCAACTTTCTTCACAAATCAATGCCCATGCAAGATGGTATATACATGACAAATTGCAGCTATGTATAATAGCTTTTATTACAAAAACAGATCATGTATAAGGACATTTTTTAACTTGTGACGTGGAAGGAAACTCGAAGTCAAATATTTAGTAATTTGTCATTTTTTTATCGGATGTCCCCCTTGTCATCTAGTTTATGGAATATACAGTAGAAATTGTTATTGGCACTCCATAATTCACATTTGTTCTCCAAACTTTCTATATTTAGAAAGAAAAATATACTTGTGAGGAGTACAAAATGAGATTTTTGAAGTGTCAATAACAATTCCTTATTACCATTAAGGAATAAGATAATATATATTAGTTTTCTAGGTCCTTTCATGTAGTTTATATACTCCAGTTTCTAGTCCAACTGATTAAATTACAAATACAGTGCAAACGGGAACTTTAAAGTATGAGTCGTCCAACGTTTTATCACAGTTCAAAATTTGGCAATTGATTTCACTACACAAGAACTGGTCAATGGTAACGAAGCCACCACAACACGACGAAGCAGCAAAGTCTAATACCCCTCATTATTTGGGATTGGTTAAAGTCAAACTAAAATCCCAGAGTTTTGCAGCCAAATCCGCATCTTTTGCCTGAGAGCTCGATTTGGCAATGTTACAGTCTACAAAGTATTCGCCGCTTACTCCCTGTACTTGTGGATGAAGTGCCACTAAGCATGTGGTTGCCGCACCCTACACGGCCATGTACAATGAGATTATTTAACCACATTGGCTATATAAAATGTCAGCGATACAAGATTCCGAACCCCCACGAACCAAACAAAGAAATTAACTGCATCATATTGCAGATCGCATTTCTAATAGAAGTGAGTCCGACTTATACTTTTGAATCTCACCTCTTCAATGATGTGGTCTACAAATATGATGCATGTGGCATTAGTCCCAAAAGTATAACAAAAGATTATATATAGGCACACTTTGTGGAAAGTATAGAAGTACATACCTGCGGAATAGTTTTACCGGTAAATATACCGAACACGTTAAATAAACCTGTGTCAAGCCATTAAAAAAAGTCAGTTGATCAGTGGAAAACAAAACAAATACTCAGTGTCAACACAATAGATACTGAGGGAGGGAGAACCGAACAAGGGCCTGGATGCAATGCAAAATGTTCTTAGCAACTTAAGCTACAAATCATTTAGTTAATGTACTCAAGAAGTTTGGTTATGAGCTAATATGTAAAATGACGCATCATGTATCCATGAAGGTAACCCTCCCTTTGGAACAATATGACGCTGGTAAAGTACAAACGACGAATTCTTACACTGAAGAAAGCAATCATTGCGGGTAATTTTGGTGCCAATTGCTCCGGGATGAAGAGAATTAGCAGTTATCTCTACCCCTTCTTCCTGTTAAAAAATAAGTAGCCATGCGAACCAAGAATTAGTGGAGATCAATAATAGCTGTATGAATACTTATATGTATAGATATACGCAGTGTATTGCTACTGGGTGACCTAATTAAAATTCTCAATACCTTCATACGCCTTGTAAGCTCATTAGCATGCAAAACGTTAGCAAGCTTGGATTGTGCATAGGCGAAATATCTGTTGTAGCTGTGTAGTAGCAAACAAAGCGGTTGATTATTGGCATATATTTATCCAAAACATACACCACAGAATGTTAAAAACGGAAATAAGTACGAAATCAGCATACCCAGCTGTATCATTAATTTTATCAAAACGAATTCCTTCACGGTATCCATATTGATGAAGAAGTGATGATACATTGACAATTCTCCCCTCTCGGTTGCTTTCTCGTGATGTACTTTTCATGGTCTCCAACAGAAGATTTGTGAGAAGAAAATGACCTGCACATTTTATGGTTCGTAGCAAGTTGCTCAATGCATTGATAAAATTAGAGCAAATTGTACAAAACCGATCTGTTGGCTGACAGTTCAGAGTTGGAAAAAAGTTGTTAGGCAACTAACCTAAATGGTTAGTTGCAAACACCAGTTCTATGCTGTCTTGAGAGAGCTTGAATGGAGTTGCCCCTGCCCCTGCATTGTTACTTCCAACAAAGAAGAAAGTTAAGTTCGCGATGTGCAGATAGAATTCAAACTAATACGATCCAATAGGGTATATATCTCTAGCACAATACACACAAAGTGAAAGTATAAACTGAAGGAAAAAAATTAGTAAGGTGGTTGCTCTTACATTAGGATATTGAGTGGAAGGCCGGAGGAATTATAATCTGATGCAAAATTTCTTACAGATGCCAATGAGCTGAGGTCTAACTGCCTGACATCAATTTTTGCGTTCGGAATTTCTTTTAGGATTGTTTCTTTGACGGTCGCCCCAGCATCCATGTTCCTGACTGCCATAACTACATGGAGACCGCGCAAGGCAAGAACACGCGCTGTCTCTGCGCCAATTCCACTTGAGGCTCCTGAAATTGAAGAGAGTTTAGACAATGAAATTCATACAACCTTATATATGACAGAGGAAGACATGATAATTTAGAACCAAAACTGAAGGATATAATATATCCCAGAAGAGACATCTCTATATTACACAAAAGAATTTATTATATAAGAACAAATTGATTTTCCAAAAAACTAACAGAAGTACTTAAATAAATGTAAATTAAAATATAACCCATTCGAGCTCACCTTGGCATATATCACAGAATTAGTAAAATTAGTCAAAATCACCTTCTTCTATATCCTTTTTGTATTCTTACATGAGAAAAACCTTTATCACATAAAAGTAAGGTATTGAAGTTGAGTTCCACCTCTAAATTAATTGGCACATTTTACCGTGGAGTTTTCACAGGTTCCACTCCAAAATCAAATGGGTATTAGTGGAGTAGCCCAACTACTTACAAAAAATCTTGAGTCCTTTAACTTTCCGGTAATTAGTACTTTACTTTATCACATGTATTATACGAAATTTAGAGTTGACGATGACCTGTAACGATGGCAGTAAGGCCAGTTCCCTCAATCCCTTGAGTAACTTTCTCTGCCGTCGAAGAGGCGGAGAACCCAGATGCTCCTTTCCTGCTAAATATTCCCATTTAATTCTGCAGACGATTATGAAATTACAAAAATTACAACAAACTGAATGCTAAGAAAGTTAAGCTAACATAGTAGAGTTGTAATCTTAAGATATTGGCAACGAAAATAACTGCCAATTACGTGAGGACAACGGATATATTTGATTAATGGACATCCCTACTCCACCAAGTCGGCAATTGTTTTCTTGCTGTTGTTCCTATCCCATGTCTAACGTCGCAAAAACTCTTGGCATTGTTACAAGAAACGACGTTGTGCCTAGGGCAAAATTTCCAAAATTTTGCAAAGTGTTCTGGACCTATTCTGATAAAAAAAAATTCAAAATATTCCGATTCTTTAAAGTTATTTACTAAATTTAATTTTTTAATTAATTTTGGTATTTTATTGTTAGTTTTGGATGCATGTTTTCTCGATTGTTTTATGTTAATCATACACTTATATATTAAAACAATAAACATACTAGACTTACTAGTATACAACAAAATTAAATGGACTTATACATGAACTTAGTACTACGGTATAATACATGAACTTAAGACTACGGTATAATCATGTTCTTCATTAATGAGTGAGAGATCTTAGGTTTAATTACCGCTATTATGAGACTTAGCCCACTGCCCCACCCTTTAGTGCAGATAACATCGTAATGTATTAAAAAATATATTTATAAAAGCATATACCAAATATTAAGAATTGAACAATTAAAGGTATGAAAAAGTTCGAAAATATTGAAAAACTTGAAAAATATATGAATTTTTTAATTATATTTCGAAATTTCCGTAAAATACTCAGATTCTAAAAATTGTGAATTTAAATATTGTGGTCTGATCTAATTTTGAAATTTTGGAATGATAATTGGAAACAATGTTTCCGATCCCATTCTTCCGAAAATCATCCATAGTTCTTTCGATTGAAATGCTTAGAAAAAGCCAACAAATCATATGCATGCATGACGCAACGGTAAAATTAAAAGGCGTTGTTATATATTTGATGCTTGGCTTAATCGAAGAACAACTAACAGAAATGTACCCCTAAATCATAAATACCTTCGAATTAGTGAGAGTACAACTAATAGAAGTGTGTCATTAGAATAAAAAGTTTGATTAATGTTTATTGGAGTAAACCTTCTCGTTCGTCTTTTGTTGATTCATCATTTTATAGACGGTTGGTCTCTTTTTCTTCTTGCATGCTCTAAGAGATTAAATAGTAGTTTTTTTTTTTTAATAAAGGAATTGCTCTATTAGTCAGCTAGAGTGAATCTTCCTGAATAAGAGAGAATTAAGTTATACTTGAATATTTAGTTAACCATTCGTGTATGCTATGACATAAACAACAATTGGTCTTCCATTGTAAGGCGTGTGGTTAATCTAAACAAATCAAGGTACGTCGTGTTGTGACAAGGGGCTATTACAAGTCGTGTAATGATAGGGAGAATAAATTTGTAAATTAAATAATGTGTTACCAATAGAAAATCAGCACGTTTATCAACGTTTAAGTAATAATCCAATCATTTATTTTCATGTCATTTAGTTTACAAATTTAATCAACAAATTTAATCTCCCTAGCGTTACTCATTACAAGTCATATCTGATCAAGGTACGTTGTGTAGTTCGCCCAATAGGTATTCTCGCTTTTTGGAGTGGTACTTCTCTACTTTTGGGATTTACGAAATGATCAACTATGGCGTGACTTTAAGACATTATCTTTTCTTTATTTTGTCAAATGAAATTACTTTCATTAAAATCTAGTACAAGAATAGAGACCAAAAAACCTCTCATAAAACAATAGAAGGTAAAATAAAAGGCTCAAACAAAATAAGATCTGCAACCCAAGATACAACGGGAGGCCTCACAAACTTAGGCCCGTAGGTAGAAAAAATAAACAACAAAAAACCCTAATTTGAAGCAACATAAACCAAAACGCTGACGCCACCACATCCTCGAAGAGAGCTAAACTCCGAACTGAGAAAGTAGATACCAGACTCAAATCTCCTTCACGAACTCCTACAAATATATACAAATAGTGTACCATATGGATAGAAAATGAAGCTAAGAGGGTATGTAAAATACCCTTACTGTGACAGAGGCCACAAAACACATGGCCTCGATGGGGCTCCAACATACCGGTTGTGAAGGGGAAGTGAAGGAGGGAAATGGATCTAATTTCCAATTTCAGATCGGAGTATGCAGATCCGAGCTCACGATAGGGGAGATGGATTATCACGGCGAAAGAAGAGGGAGGAAGCAAAAATAATAGACATAAAGTAGTAAGAATAGGCGAAAAATGCCGGATAAGGGGAATGAAACCTAAATCTGAGACAAGCTCAGAGTTATTAAAACTAAGCTCAAAGAAGATTGGAAAATGGGAAGGAAGATAGGGTGGGAAGCTGTAAAAGGGAAGGAGCAGAGGAGATGGGAGGGGAGGAAAAAAAGGAAAATGCAGAAGAGAAGGGAAGAAAGGAAAAAAGGGAAAGAGCATAGGAGATGGGAGGGAAGTGGGAGGGTGTAGCAGGCAGTGAGAAAAAATGAAGGAGAAGAGAATAAGGGTGGGTTGCCACCAACACCTAAGCCAAAGGCTAGGGCTGACGACAAAAGAGAATATTGGGTTGGTGTTTCAGAAAAGAGAGAATTTTTTCTAGAGAGATGTTATCTACTAAAGAATAGAAAACCCAAATTCATCTTGTAGGCGTGACATTATCTATATTTAAGAAAGTTTTCTTCAATTTAAAAGTAGTTATGACATGATCTCCTTATATGAGGTGAGATATATGTAAGAATATTTTAATATTATAGTGTTGTTCACATGGCATGGTCTATATGTGATGTATTCTGGTTAATAAGTAACGTTTTAGAAGAAATCATGTTGGTCAAATTATAATAATTGATTTCTTATTTCATTACCATGATGGGTGTAATTAATTATGTGCTTCAGGAGGAAATACGCCCTCTCTGTCTATAATATTGCACATACCCATCTAATGTGTACACGAATGAAGAACACGTATTAGGGTTTTAACGTGCAAGCATGACTAGAGACAGAAACCTAATTTCCTTCACAACAACTGTTTGCCTACAGATTGCTCAAGATAGAGATGTGCAATTTGTAGAATTATCAGAGAGACGGGCCATACAGCCCACTTCCAACAACACTGATACTATCCCCAACTTGGTAATTACCACCTGCACAATCCGTCAGGTGTGAGGTTTTATCACAAAAGGTCTCGGTATTAGTTGGAGTGGGATTAGGGTATTTAAACTATTCATAAACATTGATACAGTCGATGTGGGACATTTCAACACAACCCCTCACGTGGGACCCAATTAGTGGGTCATACGTGGAAGATCCACACATCGACAATCACATGGAGCTAAGGGGACTCATCCTACACGGGGGGCCAAGGGACCCATCATCATTGCGTGGGACCAAGGGGACCCACCCATCACGTGGCAGTACAGTAGGGGCTCGCTCCCTGGCTCTAACACCATGTAGAATTATTAGAGAGACTGGGCCATACGTCCCACTTCCAACAACACTGATACTGTCCCCAACATGGTAATTACCACCTGCACAATCCGTTAGGTGTGGAGTTTTATCACAAAAGGCCTCAGTATTAGTTGGAGTGGGATTAGGGTATTTAAACTATTCTTTTGTCATTGATACAGTCGATGTGGGATATTTCAACACAATGTATGTATTCTACAACAATTGTTTGTGAAGTTCATGGTGTTCAAGATCTTGGTTCATGGATTGGGTCTTATAAATTTACCTAATTTTAAGTTTACTTGTTAGAAAGAAAGAAAAAAAAAATTACTTGTGGTATCAGAGCATAATTAAGAACTCCCGTGATATTTCCTTTTCGAATATAGTCAAAATAATTGACCAGATTGATTGAGCCGCATAATGTTTTGGCAGCTCTATAAGGAATTGGTTTTGAATCCATCACATGGGCACACACACCGTATTGGTTTGGACTAAATAATAGTTTAACAATTCCAGACTTTGATATTATGAATCCGTTGAATCAATATTGCATATACTTTGGTCAGTTTTTCTTATACTACGTTTTTGGGATTTTTCCGTATATGAATGGGAATAATTCGTTTTTCCCTATGTATATGAATTTTAATAGGAAAAATTTATTTGAACTTATATGACCTTACTCTACACCCAACTTACATTACTACAACTAACATTTTTCGCAACAAAGACAAATTTGTTGCGTAAAGACATATTCCGTTGCATTCACAGATTGAAAACTCCGTCGCAAAGTTATCATCGGGCAAAGCTCTTAAAAAAAAATTTTGTGCGACGAAGTAATGATATTCATCACATAAAATGTAAAGAAACGAAACCTGTTGTTGCTCAGATAACAAGGGTATGAAACTATGTTGTCATGTTGAGTTCATGGTGACAACAAAACGTCGTTAGGACGTTGCGGGACAAAGGTCTCTGCCGAGTAAACCTTTATCCAATACAATTCGACTAATTTTTATAGTATTTAATTATTCCGTTGTTTACCGATTCACACGATGACAACCTTTCTTGCATTTAATCTTATGCGATGGAGTGATCCGTCGCGTAAACGTTTTTTTTTTAATTTTTTTTTTGTTGGGTTTTCATATTTTAATAAATATAGGAGCTTTTAGATCTGGATCCAAAAATATAGATGAGTTTTAGGAGTGAGTTCAGTTATCTAATTACATGTTTTTCTTTCTTTTATACTCTTTTTATATTGTCTAAAAATATTAAAAATCAATTAAAATCTTTGAATATCTTATAACAAAAAAATAATAATAAAAAAAACTAATATACCAACATAAATATACTTGCAAAACATTATACCCTAACTCAAGTAACAAAAATATAAATGTATATTATATCTATAAATAAGACATGAAACCTAGAAAAAAACTTAATATACCTACAAGCATTACAGATTAATCTGCGACAAGTTGATTATAAAAAAGAATTTGTCACATAGAGAGATAAATATAATTAACCT